TCTTCTTCTTCTTTTCTTGTTCTTGTTCTTCTTGTTCTTCTTGTTCTTCTTCTTCTTCTCCTCCTCCTCCTCTCCTTCTTCTGCTTCTTCGCGTTCAATGGCTGTAAACTCCTGTGAAAAAAAAACATAGTAGTTCGCCCTTTTCTGGACCGAGTCTTGTTCCAGGAATGTTTCTTGCCTCTCAGCCAGCAGGTTTTCTCCGTCTTATAATGAAACGGTCATCCTATCCATGGTGGCCAGAACTGCGGTCGGGTACCTTTGTCTAGGATGACAGTGGACAGGGGTAGACAGGTCTTGACCAAAATGAGCCCTTGTCCAGTTTCATGTCGTAAGAGCCGACTAATTGGGACCTTCCTTTGAGTGCATCAGCCGGAGAGAAAGGGAACCAACAGTCTGCACACAAACGTGTCATGTCTGTCAAACGGATGCACACTCAAAACTCAGGTTTTGAACCAGGGTTGCAGTCCAGAAGTGGACGAACAACCAGAACTTTTCTCCAGAGTTTACAACTGGTTAATGCAAAGAAGAAGAAGAAGACTTTCACTTGCGAATCAGTACCTGAGCTTTCCGACCGATATACTGTAAATGACACAGAGCCGACGTGGTGACGCGGCTAGGCGCTCGGCTGTTTAAATGCGAACGGTGCTGAACTTTATTTTTTTTTTTTTAACAAATGAGCTTGGGTTCCAGATCGACCAAGCATTAAATGGGTACCAGGAAAAGACCTGAGAAGTAAAGGCGGCTGGTGTAATACTGATCACATCACGCATCGAGAGCCGATTGGTCTATAAAATATAGGTCTAGTTCTATATGTTAAATACAACCAAAGGCCTGGAAAATGGTCCTTAAATGAAACAAAAAAAAGGGTTTGCTACCGTTAATAAATAGCATGATTTATAAGCAATAGGTGATAAACAGCCAATAGGTTCTGGTACAGTTAAACGTTGATAACGAATGAATCATATGTTCTAAATACATTTAATAAACAGTGAAAATAAGTACACAATAGCTTCTAGAACAGTTAGTTAAGGATGATTTAAAAAAAAAAAAACAGTCTCTAATAAATATAATAACCTTTATCATAAATAAACAAACACATTTTATATAGTTAATAAACAATGATAAAACATACACAATAGCTTCTAGAACAGTTAGTTAAGGATGATTTTTAAAAAAAAAACAGTCTCTAATAAATATAATAACCTTTATCATAAATAAACAAACACATTTTACATAGTTAATAAACAATGATAAAACATACACAATAGCTTGTAATAGACTCGAGAAAGAGAATTCTGAACAGCTAAATACATCGTATCCTAATATACAGAAGTGAATCATGGACAGTTGGCCGATTAGTGACACATTTTTTGAAAGCTGCGGAGATGTTTTTTTTTTTTTATAGACAAATGATGAGAATACCCTGGACAGATAAAAAAAAAACGTAATAAAGATGTTTCCAAAGCAACTCAGCAAGAGAACTGATTGCTTATGTAAGAAGAAGACAATCTACATTATTGGATCATTTCACGAGTAGGAGAAACCTGGAGTATGTAGTGACGACGGATACGTTGGAGAGGCAGAGGAAGACCGAGAGAGAAAATGTTGGACAGTTTGACGTCATGGTATGGAAGCTCTTCTGTGTCAGAACTGATTGAAAGCACACGAGACAGAAGGTTGTGGTTATTCATGACTACCAACGCCACACACCATGGACTTTGAAAAACAGACAAATTAATTACGTTGATAGATAAACGATAGTTCCTAGCACAGATGATTCGCCTAATAAACATTCCACTCTTCTACTTCTTCTTTGCGTTCGGATTCGTATGCTCAGGTCAGACCATAAGGTGGGTTGCCTCTATGAACTCGCATGTCAGTAGTAGGTCTTTCATGATTCCCCATAGCTTGCTCTGCACACTTTGATCTTGAGGCCAGGTGTTGTTTTAAAGGTGTAGAACAGTCAAGACCTAATGCAGGTGACAACGAACCGCCAGAGATAGAGAGCTATGACCTCTGCACTATGTGCCGCACTAGGCTCAAATGGAAAGTAACTTTTAAATAGGCACTGCTGAATACACACAGTAGGTTGTAGAACAATGAATAAACATGGATAATATTTGAGCTAATCCCCGTGTGGGTTCCGGGGCCCTGTTATAGGGAAAACAAGAATAGACCTACTGCCTACCCAAAAGCATTTCGTAAGCGTCGACTAATTGGGAGCTTCCTTCAAAGTCAGAGTGCATCTGCCTGAGAGGCAAGTAACTCGCAGTCTGCATACAAATGAGTCAGATTTGTAAAACAGATGCACACGCAACACTCAGGTTCTGGAACAGGACTGTTGTTCAGAATTGGATGAAAAACCAGAACTTTCCGCCAGAGTTTAAAGCTGGTGAACGTGAAGAAGAAGAGGAAGAATATTTGAGCAATGACACTTCTTATTTTAGAGGGTTGGTTAGTTGCGTATCCTTTACAGGACGTTGTAGAACCAAGCACAACAGCCCCTGGCGGTTGTGTGGTTTTTTCTAGGCAAATTTACGTCCAGTAGTTTTCCAATGCCTGCTGGACGGTCGGCCCCCTGATACCACTGTCGAAACCAACGCAAGGCGCATGGCCCGCAGCTGGGATCTAACCCGGCACCCCGGCATTACGAAGCGTTCTTATCGACTTAGCCACAGAGCCGACTATTGTAGAGAAAAAGACAATTTTAACGTCAGCAGCAGAGCAGGCAGATGATGCTACTGTCATATTGTTATAGATCGATGTGTCATGTTGTGAACATGACGCTAAAAGGAACTGGTGTTATCAGTCGCCACACGCCGAAGGATATGCTGAAGATGGGATCCAAGCTCTTATGGACTAATCCGATGTTAAGTAAGGATAATCTGTCGATTAACTAACTAGCTATCTAGTCAAACCAACAGCACCTCACATATTTTAATTTGCCGAAAAACGACGCACAGTAAGGTTTATTGCAGTTAATAAATAGTTATGATAAACATGGAAACGATTCTAGTTAATTTAATAAACATCTACAATAAATTAGCAACAGTACCTAGTAGCTATAAATTATTTATGAAAAAAAAATCCGGCACGTGTGTTTTATTTAAGTGAGTACGGTAAGTCACTATTTTCTTAATCGCGCACATATGAAAACGTAACACAGGAAACTGATGTGTGATGTAGGAAAGACACTGTTGGTGAGTGAAGCTAACTCGCCACACAGACACAATGAAAGTTGTCAGGCGACGTTGCTGATTACCCAGGACAGCGGACAACGATGACAACACACAAACGTACACAACAGCACACACGCAACACGGGGAACACTCACTCACAACGCAAACTGTGGTAGCCGAGAGAGTCGATGAGAACACCTCAACCGCGCTGAGTTATGTTAATGTGACAACGAAATTAAGCTACCTGATGTCAGAAAGTTTTAGGGATGAGGGAGAAAGGAGTCCAGACGGGAATTGTTTGCTGAAGGTTTGAACTGGCGGATACTCTCGCTCAGAAGGAAGGGTTCTCAAAATGGGTCTGTTTGGGATAGATATGGCTATTTACTAAGAGGTGTCAACTGAATGTTGAGGTAAAAGGAGAGATGGCGGCTCTTTCCTAATAGCCGACCACAAATTACGTCACGGGACAGTCCACTATTGTAGAGGGTGATAAGACGGGGTTTACGGACTTTCTGTGTTTGTTTCTTGGCTGTCTTCTTCTTGTTCTTCTTGTTCTTCTTGTTCTTCTTGTTCTTAATATTATTATTATTATTATTATTATTATTATTTTTTTATTATTATTATTATTATTATTATTATTATTATTATTATTATTATTATTATTATTTGCGTTCACCATCTGTACACCCTGGCGTAAAGATCAATTGTTGTTTATCCACTTCTGGACTGTAGTCCTGTTCCAGAACCTGAGTGTGTATCCGGTTTACAGATCTGACAAATTTATATGCAGACTGCTGGTTCCTTGCCTCTCAGGCAGATGCACTCTGACATCGAAGAAAGCTTCAAGTTAGTCGACTCTTACGACATGCTTATCGGTAGGCAGTGGTTCTATTCTTGTTTTCCATATAATAGGGCACCTTAACTCATACAGGGATTTTTCCGGCTTTCTATGTTTCTCTCCCGGCTTTTTGTGTTTCTCTCCCGGCTTTCTGTGTTTCTCTCCCAGCTTTCTGTGTTTCTCTCCCGGCTGTCTGTGTTTCTTTTCCGGCTTTCGGTGTTTCTCTCCCGGCTTTCTGTGTCCTGGCTGTCTGTGTTTCTCTCCAGGCTTTCTGCGTTTCTCTCCCAGCTTTCTGTGTTTCTCTCCCGGCTGTCTGTGTTTCCTTCCCGGCTTTTTGTGTTTCTCTCCGGCTTTCTGTGTTTCTCTCCCGGCTGTCTGTGTTTCTCTCCCGGCTTTCTGTGTTTCTCTCCCGGCTGTTTGTGTTTCTCTCCCGGCTGTCTGTGTTTCTCTCCCGGCTTTCTGTGTTTCTCTCCCGGCTTTCTGTGTTTTCTCTCCCGGCTTTCTGTGTTTCCCTCCCAGGTGTCTGTGTTTCATTTCCAGCTTTCTGTGTTTCTCTCCCGGCTGTCTGTGTTTCTCTCCCTGCTTATAGTGTTTTTTCCCGGCTTACAGCGTTTCATTCCCGGGGCTTACAGTGTTTCTTTCCCGGCTTTCAGCATTTGTTTCCCGGTTTTCAGTATTTGTTTCCCGGCTTTCAGTGTTTGTTTCCCGGCTTTCAGTGTTTGTTTCCCGGCTTTCAGTATTTGTTTCCCGGCTTTCAGTATTTGTTTCCCGGCTTTAAGTATTTGTTTCCCGGCTTTCAGTGTTTGTTTCCCGGCTTTCAGTATTTGTTTTCCGGCTTTCAGTATTTGTTTCCCGGCTTTCAGTGTTTGTTTCCCGGCTTCGAGTGTTTGTTTCCCGGCTTTCAGTGTTTGTTTCCCAGCTTCGAGTGTTTGTTTCCTGGCTTTCAGTATTTGTTTCCCGGCTTTCAGTATTTGTTTCCCGGCTTCGAGTGTTTCTTTCCCGGCTTTCAGTATTTGTTTCCCGGCTTCGAGTATTTCTTTCCCGGCTTTCAGTGTTTGTTTCCCGGCTTCGAGTGTTTGTTTCCCGGCTTTCAGTATTTGTTTCCCGGCTTTCAGTGTTTGTTTCCCAGCTTCGAGTGTTTGTTTCCCGGCTTTCAGTGTTTGTTTCCCGGCTTTCAGTATTTGTTTCCCGGCTTTCAGTATTTGTTTCCCGGCTTCGAGTGTTTCTTTCCCGGCTTTCAGTGTTTGTTTCCCGGCTTCGAGTGTTTGTTTCCCGGCTTTCAGTATTTGTTTCCCGGCTTTCAGTGTTTGTTTCCCGGCTTCGAGTGTTTCTTTCCCGGCTTTCAGTGTTTGTTTCCCGGCTTCGAGTGTTTGTTTCCCGGCTTTCAGTGTTTGTTTCCCAGCTTCGAGTGTTTGTTTCCTGGCTTTCAGTATTTGTTTCCCGGCTTTCAGTATTTGTTTCCCGGCTTCGAGTGTTTCTTTCCCGGCTTTCAGTATTTGTTTCCCGGCTTCGAGTGTTTCTTTCCCGGCTTTCAGTATTTGTTTCCCGGCTTCGAGTGTTTCTTTCCCGGCTTTCAGTGTTTGTTTCCCAGCTTCGAGTGTTTGTTTCCCGGCTTTCAGTATTTGTTTCCCGGCTTCGAGTGTTTCTTTCCCGGCTTTCAGTATTTGTTTCCCAGCTTCGAGTGTTTGTTTCCTGGCTTTCAGTATTTGTTTCCTGGCTTTCAGTGTTTGTTTCCCAGCTTCGAGTGTTTGTTTCCTGGCTTTCAGTATTTGTTTCCCGGCTTTTAGTGTTTGTTTTCCGGCTTTCAGTATTTGTTTCCCGGCTTTCAGTATTTGTTTCCCGGCTTTCAGTATTTGTTTCCCGGCTTTCAGTATTTGTTTCCCGGCTTTCAGTATTTGTTTCCCGGCTTTCAGTATTTGTTTCCCGGCTTTGAGTGTTTGTTTCCCGGCTTTCAGTGTTTGTTTCCCGGCTTCGAGTGTTTGTTTCCCGGCTTTCAGTATTTGTTTCCCGGCTTTCAGTATTTGTTTCCCGGCTTTGAGTGTTTGTTTCCCGGCTTTGAGTGTTTGTTTCCCGGCTTTCAGTATTTGTTTCCCGGCTTCGAGTGTTTGTTTCCTGGCTTTCAGTATTTGTTTCCCGGCTTTCAGTGTTTGTTTCCCGGCTTCGAGTGTTTGTTTCCCGGCTTTCAGTATTTGTTTCCCGGCTTCGAGTGTTTCTTTCCCGGCTTTCAGTATTTGTTTCCCGGCTTTCAGTATTTGTTTCCCGGCTTTCAGTATTTGTTTCCCGGCTTTCAGTATTTGTTTCCCGGCTTTCAGTATTTGTTTCCCGGCTTTCAGTATTTGTTTCCCGGCTTTCAGAACTTGTTTTCCGGCTTCGAGTGTTTGTTTCCCGGCTTTGAGTGTTTGTTTCCCGGCTTCGAGTGTTTGTTTCCCGGCTTTGAGTGTTTGTTTCCCGGCTTCGAGTGTTTGTTTCCCGGCTTTGAGTGTTTGTTTCCCGGCTTTGAGTGTTTGTTTCTCGGCTTCGAGTGTTTGTTTCCCGGCTTCGAGTGTTTGTTTCCCGGCTTCGAGTGTTTGTTTCCCGGCTTCGAGTGTTTGTTTCCCGGCTTCGAGTGTTTGTTTCCCGGCTTCGAGTGTTTGTTTCCCGGCTTTGAGTGTTTGTTTCCCGGCTTTGAGTGTTTGTTTCCCGGCTTTGAGTGTTTGTTTCCCGGCTTCGAGTGTTTGTTTCCTAGCTGTCAGTATTTGTTTCCCGGCTTTCAGTATTTGTTTCCCGTCTTTCAGTGTTTGTTTTCCGGCTTTGAGTGTTTGTTTCCCGGCTTTGAGTGTTTGTTTCTCGGCTTTCTGTGATTCTTCCAAAGCGTTGCCCATGTTTTCGTGCGTTTATTAACGAGTTGGCTACTTGATCAGAAGAATGGGTTCTCAAAATGTTATTAGTCTGAATAATGTAACTTTTCGCTTAGAAAAGAGGACCCAAAATGTTACTATTTTGAGGAGAGAAGGTTACTCGCTCAATAGGAGGGTTCCCAAAACGTTTCTATTTGGAAGAGAGAAGGTTACTCGCTCAATAATAGGGTTTCCAAAATGTCACTGGCTGGAGGAGAAATTGTTACTAGCTCAGTAGCTGGGGTTAGCCAAATGTTACTATATGAAAAAGACATGACTAATCGCTAAGCAAGAGAGCGCTTCCCAAATATTACTGGCTGACATGAAAATGACTACTCGCTTTGTAGAATGAGTTCCCAGAATTTTACTGGATGGAATAGAGATGGCTACTCACTCTGTAGGAGGACTTCCTAAAATATTACATGATGGAACAGAGATGGCTACTCGCTCTGTAGGATGAGTTCCCAGAATTTTACTGGATGGAATAGAGATGGCTACTCGCTCTGTAGGATGAGTTCCCAGAATTTTACTGGATGGAATAGAGATGGCTACTCGCTCTGTAGGATGAGTTCCCAGAATTTTACTGGATGGAACAAAGATGGCTACTCGCTCTGTAGAATGAGTTCCCAGAATTTTACTGGATGGAATAGAGATGGCTACTCACTTTGTAGGAGGAGTTCCCAAAATATTACTTGATGGAACAAAGATGGCTACTCGCTTTGTAGAATGAGTTCTCAGAATTTTACTGGATGGAATAGAGATGGCTACTCACTCTGTAGGAGGAGTTCCCAAAATATTACTTGATGGAACAGAGATGGCTACTCGCTCTGTAGGATGAGTTCCCAGAATTTTACTGGATGGAACAGAGATGGCTACTCGCTCTGTAGGATGAGTTCCCATAATATTACTAGATGGAACAGTGATGGCTACTCGCTCTGTAGGAGGAGTTCCCAGAACATTACTAGATGGAACAGAGACGGCTACTCGCTCGTTGTCAAGGGTTCTAAACATGTTTTTAGTTGGGAAACAGTTAACGGTACTGCAGATCATTTCTGATCTATATATGCTTCCACGTCTCGGTCCCATATTCCACAACAACGTTTATTTTGGTGGAAGTGGAATTTGGAACAGGAACAGACTAAGGGCCAGTATTATAGATTCATTGTAATTAAAAAAAAAAACAAATAACTGGCAAGCCAAGACCGGCCTCAGTTGACGGGCCATGCTGCTGACGTCACCACACAGGACTAACGATACGCAAACGCAGCGTTTCACAAACTTTTTTTTTTTTAATCGTAGGGGAAAAGAAAAAATTTCGCGGCACACTTACCCTTAAAGCGGTTTAAAAACTTGAGAAAATACGGGTGAGGGGTGAGAGGGGTGGGGGCTGTACAATTTAATGTCAAGCAGATTTGGAATAATTCTTGATTATTGCCGCGCGCCCCTGACATGTGTTCATGGCGCCCCTGACATGCCTTCATGGTACCCCTGACATGCTTTCATGGCGCCCCTGACATGTGTTCATGGCGCCCCTGACATGCGTTCATGGCGCCCCTGACATGCGTTCATGCCTCCCCTGACATGCGTTCATGGCACCCCTGACTTGCGTTCATGGCGCCCCTGACATGCGTTCATGGCGCCCCTGACATGCGTTCATGGCGCCCCTGACATGCGTTCATCGCGCCCCTGACATGCGTTCATGGCGCTTCTGACATGCGTTCATGCCTCCCCTGACATGCGTTCATGGTACCCCTGACATGCGTTCATGGCGCCCCTGACATGCGTTCATGCCTCCCCTGACATGCGTTCATAGCGCCCCTGACATGCGTTCATGCCTCCCCTGACATGCATTCATGGCGCCCCTGACATGCGTTCATGGCGCCCCTGACATGCGATCATGCCTCCCCTGACATGCGTTCATGGCGCCTCTGACATGCGTTCATGCCTCCCCTGACATGCGTTCATGGCGCCCCTGACATGCGTTCATGGCGCCCCTGACATGCGTTCATGGCGCCCCTGACATGCGTTCATGGCGCCCCTGACATGCGTTCATGGCACCCCTGAATGCCGCGGCACGAAGTTTGAGAAATGCTGCGTTAAGTTATCGTTAGCCCGGTTTGTTGACATCAGCAGCATGGCTCGTCAACTGGAACCGGTCTTGGACAAACCAACCAGCTAACTAACTAACAAACAAACTAACTAACCAGCTGTATAATAACGAACTAACTGTTAATAAAGTAACTAACTAACTAACTAACTAACCATGTATGTAACACACTGACTAACTCACGAAAAAACTAATTAAATAACTAACTTACAAACAAAATCATCTAACTACCTGAATAATTATGTTTCTCATCACCAAGTGTAATTACTACTACTATGCAGAAAGCAACCCATCACAACTTGAACGTAGTCGAGCTATAAATCCGGTGTTTTAATGTAATCTTTATGAGGTTTATTTACATCATAATGGAAGTCGGTGAAAGATTGTGCCGATGTTTGTCAAATTGATCGCCTGCTTGATTCTCTGCAAAAGTGATATTGATTGTTGGGCCCAGTGTTCCTAACCCTTACAGAACAGATTGTTGGAACCTCGTTTGCTGTGGAAGTATTCTTCCCTGTAACTGTTCAGACGCGTTTGACTTGAGCAGCGCATCACAAGGGGAGGATTATTCCATGTAGTGCATCACTGTCAAGCTTTTCTAATGCATTATTCCTCTCTTTGCTCACTGTAGTTGCTTACTCTGTCCTTGTCTCTTTCTCTATCCTGGGCTTAGTCATTGACTCTTGTGGTACTAGATAGCTGCCTACTATTACTCCTACTACTATTACTATTACTACCATAGAAACAACAACAAAAGCTACTATTACTACTACTACTACTACTGCTACTACTACTGCTGCTGCCGCTGCTACTACTACTACTACTACTACTAATACTACTACTACTACTACTACTACTACTACTACTACTACTACTACTACTACTACTACTACTACTGCTGCTGCCGCTGCTACTATTACTACTACTACTACTACTACCACTACTACTACTACTACTAATACTACTACTGCTGCTGCTGCTGCTGCTGCTACTACTACTACTACTACTAAAACTATCACCACTACTGCTGCTGCTACTGCTGCTTCTGTTATTATTACTACAATTGCTACTACTGCTAGCACCACCATTACTGCCACTACTACTACTGTGACTTCCGCTATTACTACTTTTACTACAACTATTATTACTTTTTCTTCATCTTCTTCTTCTTCTTCTTAATCTTCTTGTCTTCCCTCTTCTTCTTTTTTTTTCTTCTTCTTCTTCTTCTTCTTCTTCTTCTTCTTCTTCTTCTTCTTCTTCTTCTTCTTCTTCTTCTTCTTCTTCTTCTTCTTCTTCTTCTTCTTCTTCTTCTTCTTCTTCTTCTTCATCTTCTTCTTCTTCTTTGTCTTCTCCTCCTCTCTTTTTCCTTATTCCTGTTCTTTACAAAATGAACGACAAGATTAGATAATCTTCTGTTGGTGTTTTTGTGATGCTATCTTTGCACTAAATTGTCCTTTACGTTAAGTGGCTGTTGACATTATCATGTGAGGACAGCGTGTGATCTGTTTTCCTTGTACACCATAGCGCACTTTACATGTTTCTAGTTATTCTGTTATTTCTGTATGTCTAGTTCTGTCTGCTTCTGGTAGGAAGGGAGCCACCAGGAAGATAGAATGTTTGTCTCTCTCTCTTACAAATTATACAATTATGTGTGTGTTTGGGTGCAGATGGTCCTCATGGAGGAGGTGTTTGTTTAAGCCTTGTTTCTTTTTCTTTGTGTGTGTGTGTGTGTGTTTACCAGCTGTATACTGGCGGAAAGTTCTGGTCGTTCGACCACTTTTGGACTGTAGTCCTGTTCCATAACCTGAGGGTTGCGTGTGCATCCGTTTGATAGATCTGACTAATCTGTATGCAGAATGTTGGTTCGTTGCCTCTCAGGCAGATGCACTGCGGCTTCGAAGAAAGCTACCAATTAGTCGACTCTTACGACATGTTTTTGGGTAGGCAGTGTTTCTTTTCTTGTTTTCCCTATAATAGGGCCCCATATCCAACACAGGGATAAGCCTTGTTTGAGTGCGAAGTAATAATAGTATTTATAATGTGCTAAATAGCAACAACAACAAAATAAAAATTCGTAAACTATTTAGAATATCAAATAGATAGGAGACGGCCGGTCTTCACTTAGCTATTTACAAATGTCTCTGTAATTCTCTCTCTCTCTCTCTCTCTCTCTCTCTCTCTCTCTCTCTCTCTCTCTCTCTCTTTCTTTCTCTCTCTTCATTATGTTTATACCTCTGACATTGTCCAGCTTTTGGTCTCAAGTATTTCTTTGTCCTCCTAGTCATCAGTTTTCCCTTTGCCCCCCCCCCCAACCCCACCCCTATCTATATCTACGTGTCTACTACCTACTCTTTCTGCATTTTTTCACCTCTATGGAAGATTCTTTTTCTTTTCCTATTTCATGCGAATTTACATACTTTTACTCCTTCTTTCATTCCTCTGTCCCTCGTGTTCGTTCCGTATTTTTCCGCTGTCACTTTTTCACTCTCCACAATATCTCTACATATTTTTTTCTCTTTCAAATTGTTTCTCTGCATCTCTATCTGAAAATTAATGTCCCCTAATACTCTATCTCCATCTCTCTCTCTCTCTCTCTCTCTCTCTCTCTCTCTCTCT